CCTTCCTTCCTTCCTTCCTTCCTTCCTTCCTTCCTTCCTTCCTTCCTTCCCATCCTTCCTTCCTTCCCTTTCCTTCTTATTGGAGATCAGGGCTACTACACCTTACTGATCTTTGTAATCCCCCCAGGAGATACTCAATGCATACATGTTTATTGAATGGATGAATGAATGAATGACTTGAGCCACACAGCCTCAGTTGGCCACAGCTGAGGCCAGCCTGCTCCTTTACTGGCTTGACTGGTTCCTTCCCTCCCAGCCTCCCACCACCAGCTGTTCCTTAGGCCAGCCTGAGTCCCAGCATGTGGCTGCAGCCTTTCCTCAGGGCTCCTCTGGACCTTCCATTTTTGAGACATGAGTGTCCTATCTGGGGCTGTGTCTCCCTTACCTGGACTCCAGTTCCTCCTCTTCTCCCTGCAGGTGTCCCTCACCCTTTCCTTTGAGGAGCTGGCTGTATTGCCATCTTAGGTTCCATGCTGAATGGCACCCAGGACTCCCAGGCCCCCAGGCGCCATGCCTCCATCGTAAGAATGTGACATGCACAGCACAGGGTCTAATCCTCTCGCCCTTCTCTCTTTTAACAGAAAAATGCATTGGAAGGAAAAGTTCCAGTGAAGAAAGATGCTTCATGAATTATGTAATTTTCCTTTTGGTCGGTTGCAGTCCTTAATAAATGTCTTACGTTTTCTCTTTCATTGCCTGATTTTCTTTTTAAAAAAATATATTTTATTGATTTTTTACAGAGAGGAAGGGAGAGGGATAGAGAGTTAGAAACATCAATGAGAGAGAAACATCAATCAGCTGCCTCCTGCACACCCCCTACTGGGGATGTGCCCACAACCTAGTTATATGCCCTTGACCGGAATCGAACCCAAGACCCTTCAGTCCTCAGGCCAACGCTCTATCCACTGAGCCAAACCAGCTAGGGCTCATTGCCTGATTTTCTAAAAAAAATAAAAAAAATAGGAGTAACAATTACATTTTTAGATAAGGAGCTAATGCCATGAGATTAGTTTAGCCAAGGATTTTAGGAGCTGAGATGTATAAAGCAGCGTGTTTAGCATAGTTATGTCAAACACCTGTCTTAAATCATACAATGGTCATAATTCCTTATTCCTACCAAGACAGGCAGTCCCAGGCAGCTCAATGTCAAGGAGTGTCTTTCCTTTTGTGACTAATTTTAATTTAAAAAAAGAAAAAAGAAATCATCTGGTGATTAAGGGACAAGAGGCAATCTCCTCCCCCACCAAAATGCCGCCATTGCTTCTTTTCCTTCAGATTTCTTAGGCCACAAAGTCAATAGCAAAGCCGGCTTTCTGTCAAAGCAGGTATTGCCAGAAAAGAACTGAAGACTGTGTCCCTGAGACACTTACTTAGAAATCTGTCCCAATTAGGTGCCCCAGTTTGGAGCCAGGCATTTCTGCGGCCAGTCTGCTGTGGGAATGACAGTAGTGAGAGGTCTGGAAGATTCAAGAATCCCCAATTGGAATGCAGTCCCTCGCCAGCAAGACTGAAACCCACACCTGTTTCCACGGCTTTCCATGAAGGTGTCAGGAGGTCCTGAGGACTATTTTCAGGACTGATGATACACTAAGTCATTATCAGTCATTTGCACCTTGATTTAGATGGGGCTGTCTATTCCTGCACTGTAGCAAACTGCTCTACTTATCAAAGCTTCTAAGTGTTGGACAAGGCGATTGTCTACCTCACCCCCCACCCATCTTCTATATTTTTTCAGAACTTTCCTGGATATTCCCATGCGCTTTGTAAAATTTCAACTTTAAGATCAGCCTGTCAAGTGATGAACAAAAATCCTGTTGATATTTTAAATCAATTTAATCATTAAATTTTAATGACATCAAATTTGTAGATTAAATTAGAGAACAGATTTGAGTTTTGCTTTATAAGAATAAGATATAAATTTCCATTTACTGAAGTCTTCTTTTTGTCCCTTAGTAGAGTTTAAGTGTGTGTGTGTGTGTGTGTGTGTGCGCGCGCGCATTTGGCATATTTCTTTTATAATTTATTTATTGGTATTATTCTTTTTGTTGTTATTATAAATGAGATTTTTTTTGGTCATTATATCTTATGATATAAAACTGACTAATCTATATTAGGTTTTTGGCCTAAAATTTCATATTATTTTTAATAGGTCTTCAGTTGATACTCTAGAGAAGCGGTTCTCAACCTGTGGGTCGCGACCCCTTTGGTGGTCGAACGACCCTTTCACAGGGGTCGCCTAAGACCATCCTGCATATCAGATATTTACATTACGATGCATAACAGTAGCAACATTACAGTTATGAAGTAGCAACGAAAATAATTTTATGGTTGGGTCACAACATGAGGAACTGTATTTAAAGGGCCAGAAGGTTGAGAACCACTGCAGTATTCCATGTATACACTGCAACTTCTGCAAGTGATATTAATGTTGCCTCCTCTTCATTTTTTGAATGTCAATGTCTCTTTTCTTATTTTCTTTTAATATATTCCCACAGTGTTAGAGGACATCCTGGTTTTGCTTCTCACTTAGATTGGATTCTAAGAAGCATTTTAACATCTCACCAGTAAGCACGATTGGCTTCTGGTTTGGTGTCTAAATTTTTAATCACATTAAGGTTTTATTTGTCATTTCATTGTTAAGTGTATATTGAACTTTATCAAAACATCTTTTGAAATTTGTCTGTTTTGAATTTTTCACATTTGTCTTCTTTGATAAAAATATGGTGACTTATGTTAATCTGTTGCCTATATTGAACCACCTTTGCATTTCTGGAACATCCCTACTTCTGGGTCATGGTTTGCTATTCTTTAAATAGGCTGCCACTAGTTATCACTGCTTCGTGTAGGCTGTTGATACCAACCTTCATGAGTGAGCATGATCTACTGTTGATTTGTGTGCTGTCTTTGTCTGATCTGGGTATCAATGTTGTGAAACCCAAGATATCTTGCATCTCCATAGCATCTCCCCTGCCCACCAACTCCCAATGCTGGGTCGAGTATCTGGCCATGGAGCTGTCTGGTTTGTTCTGTGGATTGTGCGAGCCCATGCCCTCCCTGAGCACAGTCACCTGCCCCAGCTCAGCCCCTGCCTGCTCCCAGCACTGCACTTCCCTGGGAGTGAGCAGGTCATCAGGAAGAGAAACACTATGGAGACATGGGCTCATGGGCAATTGACAACAAGGGAGACCTTATAAACGATGCACACTGAGGCTACAGAACCCACACCCTCTGTGTGCTCAGCGACATTTGTTCTAAGAACAAACGTGATCTGATTCCTTCAGGCCAGAATTCAGGTGAGCAATTTGCTGTTAAAAAAAGAGACCTCTCTTATGGCTGAGTCGTATTCAGTTTGTGTATATGTACCACATCTTCTTTATCCAGTCCTCTATCACAGGCACTTTGTCTGTTTCCATGTCTTGGCCACCATGAATAATGCTGCAATGAACATAGGAATGCATATATCTCTGCGTATAAATGATTTAGAGTTTTTCGTGTATACACCCAGGAGAGGAATTTTTGGGTCATATGGTAGCTCTATTCTTAACATGGTGTTATATATAGATTTTGTAACTTAGAAATCCACACGTGAAACCTATATGTTCATGTTGACCAATGTCACCCCAATAAAATTTACTTAAAATAATCATTACAATGTAAAAAAAAAGGAAGGAGACCTCATGGCCTTCCTTTGAACAATGCACACCTGTCCTCCCAACTGCCGCCCCTATAGAAATCCCCTACGAGATAAGCATCTGTACACCTTTCCATAAAAATTTCGGAATGCCAGACATTTTTATGCAGAACAATTTTGGCCTCTCCTCAGAGGCAGGTGTGACCAGAGCCAACCTGTCTGGAGTGGCTTTTTACGTGGGAGTCCTCAGCAGTGTCAACAAGCATAACGATGTTATGTTACTGGGCTCCGCCCCTGGGAACCAGCGCACACCTTTACGGAGGGACCGAGTTTACCTTCCTTGTCCCTTCATAGCTTGGATTAAAAATTGCCCAGAGTTCAAATATTTAATGTTCTTCCTTATTTCCCATTCCTGGAATGTCTCATTGTGGCACGGCTTGTGGCCAATGTGTGGTGTTCCTCCCTCGCCAGGTACTGGGCAAGGTCTCACTTTGGGGCTACCTCAGCCCGAACATGCACCCATGACCTTTGCACCTTTGGGGCGGCTTCCTAGGTTGTTCTGTATTGCGTTATTTTCCTTTCTGGGTCGCAGCAAGTGATTTAGTTTTTATCTTATGATCAATTTTCTACAAATTTCACAGCACGTGGTCTGATTTGTTCTGTGACCGTGGGGCGTTGGCGGCTCAGAGGCAGCGGGCCAGGGGCAAAGGAAGAATCGTCCTACAGAATGTCCTGCGCTGTAGGTGCCAACTTGTGGCCTTTCAAAAATGAAGCTCAGACAGGTCAGCTCTGAGTTTCTGGATTGCCTCTTTCCTTCTTGCTTCATTTTCTTTCCTCAACTCCTGTCTCCTCCTTCCCTGGGCGCTGATACGTTCAGTCTTCAGCAACTCACAGAAGGCAAGCTGGGGATTTTCCATCCTGTTCATATATCCTCTGTGAAGAGCTCTGTTTTATGGGAAGAGGGCTTATATCTCTGACATCTGTCCTTCCTTCCCTAAAAAATAAATTATAATAATTAAATCTTTAGAAAGTTAACCAATGGGTCTGAAATTCTCTCAGAGTATGGTAGCCAAACCGTGGGCTTGATGGGTCTCTCTGGCCATCCAATGTCATGTGTGATTCTTACAAAACCACTGCCAGCCCCGCGGCAGCCCACCTGCCCTCTCATATGTGTGCATGAAGGTGACCCGATGAGTTTGGTTCTCTGAATCTGCCATGGGGACCCCATGAGGGTTGGGGTAGGGAACTGTTTTACTCTGAAGGGCCCTATTAAACATTCATGGTGCTTCCCATCCATTTTCTTCTTCCCTGGACTGAAGGCCTAGACCTCCAAGCTTATGAAATAAGATGCAAAGCTGGAGTTCCTTCCAAGTGTTCCTTTGCCCAGGACATTGGCATTCTTTCTTTTCATATCCAAATAGATACTCCCTTGGCGATTACTCAACAGAAAACTGGCATTCCCTGAAAGCCAAACAAAACCAGCTCAAAAAAACAAAATGAACCAGCACAGAAGACATCTGAGCCTTATTTTCTCTGACCTGGCAGGTCAGGGGGAAGGGAGAAAGACAGGAGGCTGCCTGGGCACCCAGCTGCCTCAGGGCTCAAAGACCTGTAACTAGGTCACAGTGACACCAGGAAATGTGTGTAGTTCTCTGGGCAGAAGCAATGTGGCTGTTGCTGCTGCTTCAAAGGTAGAGCTCAGCATGGCTGCAGCAACTGCTGAAGGCTGCCCACTCTTTCCACCCTTTCTTCTTTCTTTCCTGCTTTGCAATAGTGAGTCCTCTCTTAGGTCTCCTCCTAAGGGCCTCTGAGGGTGCCTGCAGTCACTGCTTCCCATTCAAGCCATGAATTGGGTTAGGGACATTCCATTTTCAACTCTACAAGTTAGCTCTACCCACATTTAAAGATAATGCAATGCATAGTAAAAGAAAGCATTACATTTAAAAAATAAATGAAATTCACCCAAATTCCCACCACCTACATTTGTCTCTTGAGTTCCCTTGAAAATTGACAGTGGAAATAGGCTTCTGACCAAGAATGAGATGCTGGCAGCCCCACCTTCTTTTCTGATCACTGTCAGATAATAAAAAGCTCTGTGGTTAATTTTAGTCCTAAAACAGAGTCCGGTCTTTAATTAGAATAACACCATGTTGTAGGGTATATATGCATATTACATACTAATACATACATATTAGCATATGTCCTATGATGCAGTCAAAACTCTAAAGCGGGTGTCACTGACTTCTCTTTCGTCTCAGACACGTCCTGAGTTAGCCTGCAGCGGGGAAGGGACATGGTCTGTCCTCACCCTCACTCTGCAAGGTGAGGGAGGGGTCTGCACAGTTCTTTGGGGGCTGGGTAGCTCTGCATCTTGGGGCCCCGCATAGGAAGGCTGGTTCTTCCACTCAGGTTTCTGTAGAAATGCCCTCTGCTCTCTCTCCTGGGGTTCCTTTGGCCCTGGCCTAAACAGACACAGCTCCATGCCACATGGTCCCTGTGACTCCCCACTCAGTCCCAGGTATTCCTGCACCACCCCCACCCTCCCTCTCTAGGTCTTCTCACCCCTCCATGCAGGTAGAGCTCAGCATGGCTGCAGCAACTGCTGAAGGCTGCCCACTCTCGCCACCTTTTCTTCTTTCCTGCTTTGCAATAGTGAGTCCTCTCCTAGGTCTCCTCCTAATATTGACTCAAGATGCCCCCTGCCAGCTGCCCTAGGTTGAATAGTGCCCCCCAAAATTCATGTCTTCCAAGAATATCAGAATGTAACCTTATTTGGCCATAGGGTCTTTGCAGATATAATTAGTTAAGATGAGTTCATACTAGATTACGATGGACCTTCTAAGAAAATGTCCTTATAAGAAAACAGAGACACAGAGACTGAGGGAATAATGTCTTATAGGCAGAGATTGGTGTGATGCGTCTATAAGCCAAGGAAGGCCAAGGATTGCCCGAGCAAACAGGAGCTAGGAGCAAGGCCTGGAAGGGGTTCTCCTTCAGAGCCTCCAGAGGAACCAACCCTGCAGAACCTCTGCAGTTTTAACTCACCCAGAGCGTGGGACTTCCTTATGGCAGCCCCGGGACATGAATGCACTGGCTTCCCCCATTTACTCACATCTGGTCCCAGAAAACACCCATGTACCCTGTGCCCTGATAAACCCTGGAGGTCCCCCAAAGGCAGCCATCCCCTGGCCTTGCCTCCTAAGTCTTTGGTCAGCTCTTGTCCTCTCCATTTCCTAGTGGCAGTTAGAACCCATTTTCTCCCTCTCAGTTGTGGATCAGACACCAGACTTTGGTGTCACCCGACTGCCCTTGGACCCCCCTGAGCTATGGGTTGGGCACTAGCATGCCCTCTCCTCTCCCCATTGGTGGGCTTGCACAGCAGCCAACCGCTCTCTGCAGAGACTCTTCATCGTCTCCTCACAGGAGGAGACTGCTCTTCCATTTATCTCTTTGCAAAGCTGGCCTTACTAAGAGGTCCATGTTCTGGGCCAAGAGCTCTCCTTCATTCCCTTTGAAATTCTGCATATGGGTGGGGGGAGGAGGGTAGAGGTGGAGTCTTTTCACACTCATTTTGGTTCCCTAGTTCCATCCTAACATCCTATTACATGTGGTATGTATATAAATATGGTTTTACATTGTTGAGGTGGGACTGTACAAAGTCTTTATGGAGGCATTTCAGGTTCATGGTAGTAGATTGAATTGTGCCTCCCTCCCAAAGAAGACATGTCCTCCCAGAATCCATGAATGTGATCATATTTGGGAAAAGGGTCTTTGCTGTTATAAGTCATCTGAGGATCTTGAGACAGGATCCTTGAATTTAGGGTGGATCCTAAATCCAATGACAGGTGTTCTTATAAGAAGAGAGGAAGGCATAGAGATACACAGAGGAGAAGGTGATGTGCAGAAGGCACAAATGGGACTCATGCAGTCCCAAGCCGATGGAAACCTGAAGCCTCCAGTAGCTGGAACAGGCAAAGAAGGGTTCTCCCTTAAGCCTTGGGCGGGAGCTGGCCCTGCAGACCCCGTGGCTGACACCTTGATTCCAGACTCCCAGCCTCCACAGGTGTGAGGGAATAACATTTTTGTGGTTTTAAGTCACCCAGTTGTGGTGATTTGTTATGACAGCCCTAGAAAACGAACACACTAATTATATTACAAATGTTTCCCCATGTTATTAGACATTTCGGTAATTTTAATGATAACACACTATTCTGTAGTATAAGGAAGCCAAATCAACACTCTATTGTAAAATGTCTAATATTTGAAAATTGAACTAACTAAATAATAAGGAATTAAATGCACTTGAACGTACCTTTTGAGTACCTGGTAATTTCCTTAGGAAGATTTCCCCGTGGTGGAACTATTGGGTTGAAGGCTACACCCTCTGCTCTGCCTGTACCTTCCCTGCCTGAAGTCTATTGCTCAAAACCTGTAATTTCTGTAACTATTATTTTATACTGGTTGGTACAAGACATGTAATAACCCTGTGACTCATTTCTGTAACAATTCTTACAGATGCTGGTCTGTGAACATGAAAAGTAGCCTTCCGAAAACAAGGCCTAACCCAGTACTTACCCTGTCTGGGTTACCCGTCTGATATATTTCAGTCACAATTAGCTCACGTCCCTCAATTTGGTGCCAGGCATGTATTAAAAATGTGTTTCTTTGTGCTTTACCTTTTATTGGTCTCTCCTCTAAAAGCAAGCCCTGAAATATAGCAAGTTGTCCTTAAATCAAGCACCACGCACAAACATGTCTTGGGTCAGCTCCCTCCTCCATCTCCAATACTTAGTAGCATAAATGACATAACTTCTGGAAGTAATGTTACAAGAAGACTTTGGCATTTTGTTCTGAAGAAGTCAGAATTGAAAAAATTACTGAAAATTCCATATACCAGGAGGTAAAGGACCTGTGGTTCAGCTTGTGGTCTGCTAACATCTAATGCTTTGACTTGAGCATGTTTGTATCCCTTAACTGTGGTGACATACTCTGGACAGTGAGAGCAATGGGCTGAATGAACTCTCACATTTCCAAGATTCTGTCCCCCTGCTAATGTTTAAATGGCCCGTTTGAAGGCCTTTGCGTGTTCATGTCTAAGTACTGGGGCAAACGTCTGAATCCCATCAGCCTTCCTCTGCACATCAGTCAGAGATGGGACCTAAAATGGATGCCTGGCCAAAATAACAACCTCAAAACCCCGATCACATTAAACCAATGCAGTTGTGCTAGGAGCTTAACACGTTCATTCTGTTGAATAAAACATCTGATTTTTACACGAACTGCTATCTTGAACACAAGGCTGTAATTAGAGCTGATAACATAAATCATGGAATCCTTATTCAGCCAGCTATTATGTCTCATTGGTATGTTTATAAGAGACTGTGACCTACCATAAGCATGTCTATATAATTCTGACCTGGAATCTAAAAATGACTTTAATAATTTAGTCTAGAAAGAAACTGATTAATATAATCAAATAGGGAACTTATTATTAGTTTGGCCAGTTACTATGAAATAATACTGCTTGATTCTAAGAGAGAAACATAGAAATATGCACATATACATGTACATACAATGTATAAACACATGCAGCACACACATGCACACACACGTACACAATACATAGGCACACAGGCACACACATACACACAGTGCATAAGCGCACAGGCACACATGTGCACACACGTACATACAATGCATAAACACACACAGGCACACACTAAGTAGTATAAAACACACAGAGGAGCGTCTTTACCTTCTTCTTCTCAGCACTTTTCTGCTTCTCCTCTTCCTCTTCCCCTACATCACAAAGAAAGATGCCATTTCCACACAGCAGCCTTTTGTGTGGCACTACCACCTGCTATGCGCTGGCAACCATGTTCTCCACCCCAGCCTCCCTGCAACGGGCACAGCAACACATTTGGAATCCGGAATCCACAAGAAATGACGAAAGTGGGAATAGCACAGGCATAGGCCCAAAAAGCAAGCTTAGATACCTAGAATGTTCCAGCAGGAAGGGATAGACAGGTGACCTGTCTCCACCCCAGCTTTGAACCATGGGGAGCCTGAGATCCAGGCAGCATGAACCTGAGTCACAGCCAGAGATGGGATTTGAATTCAGGGCCTCCAACTCCCAGGTCACATGCTATCTGGGGGTCGGAACTTACAAGGCCCACAGTCCAGTTACCAATAACCATAGGGGTCATTGGGTGCCACTGTCTTACAGGAGGAAGCCTGGGCTTCAGGGAAGAGGGTGCCCCCCTATATTCCTGTGAGTGTGGCCCCAGGAGAAGGACCATTTTTCTGCCTCTGGAGTTCCAACAGCCATGTCTGCACCAGTCTGCACATGTCTGCTGTGGGCCCGCCTCCCAGGAGCCCCGTTTTCGGAACAGAATGGCATGCTTCAGGGGGCAGCCTCACCTACAGAGAGCCCTCTGTCTTCCCTTTGCTGGTGGCCATTAGGTGACGTCAGCCTGCCGTCCTGGTTAGCAGACCTTCCCTATATGCTCTTCAGCTTCCATTATGTGACCAGTTTGTGCTTTACTCTGTGTTTGTCTCCCATGTCTTGCTCTCCCTCTGAAGAAGGCCATCTTTTGCCATCTCAAACTGAGAACCCAGACTGATTTTGCACAACTGCCTGGCCGGTGCCCACAAGCAATACCTCTCCTTCCAGCAGGACCAAGAGAGCCAGCCTCAGTGAGTGGGAGTGACCTGCACAGCCACCTCTCCCTCCAGAGTCAGGAGCCCTTTCAACTTCGGGCTCCGAGGCCAAGCGTGCTCACTTCAGGTCCTTTCCTGTAAGGTAATCTTGGGGACACTGGGGCTTCCCCATGGCCTGGGTCAATTTTGTTGAATGGACTCTGGACTCTTTTAAAAGGACCTGATCCTTTTGAATTTTGCACAGCCCTAAACATAATCCCTTTGATAAAAGGGTCTTTGCTCCTGATTATCAGAACACTATGGAACGTCTGTAAATATCCTATATAATAAAAGGCTAATATGCAAATAGACCAAAAGGTGGAACAACTGAACAACCAGTCGATATGCTGTGCGCTGACCACCAGGGGCCATGTGTGGAAGATGGCGGGCATCAGCTGCGGCGGGATGGTGGAGCAGGTGAGCAGGGGCACCAGACCAAGGCGGGCGCCCGTCGCTGTCATTGGGGCAAACCTCTGGTGGTTACTGAAAATTCTTTGCTCCTGCGCACCGCAGTCCTGCCCGGCACTCGCACCTGCTGCCAGGGCCGGGGCCACTGCTCACACCCACTTCCAGTGCCGGCCCTGCTCACACCGCAGCTGTTGGTGGAGCCGCCATTCGCACCCACTGTTGGCACCCGGCACCAGTCCCAATCGCTCTGCGCCGTCAGTGGGTGCAAGCGGCCACAGCCAGCCCTGTTCACTCCTGAGGGCTTCTCCACCTCCCCCTGCTCATGAGGGGTGATCAGGGCAGCAGCCGCTGCTCGAACCTACTGAGGGTACAGGCCCCGCTTGCATCAGCTGCTGACACTGGCCCCAATTGCTCTGCGTCAGCGGGTCGAGTGGGGCTGGTGCCATCAGCACATGGGAGTGGTGGCAGCAGGAGCGGGGCTGCCAGCAGAGAGGGGACTGGGGCCCACGGCAGGAGGGGCCAGGTGGTGGTGTGGAGGATGGGCCGAGACCCACCCCTGTGCCCACTGCAGCCTCACGGCCCACAGTTCCTTTCAAGGTGCATGAATTCATGCACTGGGCCCCTAGTGTTTTTATAATTCCATGTAAAGTTGGTGTGCAATCAAATGAAACCAGTCTGAGGCAGCTGCTGCTCTCTGGACAGGCCCATGATGGAATTCAGAAGGAATGGGGCAGGGGGTGGGGATGGGGTTGGAATGAGTGACTGTTCCCTGCAGGCCAGTCTGGTGCTCAGACCCTTTAGCCTCATTTTAAGTTGCCAACACAAGAACAAAGCGTGTGACTTGTCAATGTGCAGCAAGACATCATTAAAGACTGATGTTAACCTCGGAGTCCAGCCTAGCCTTGGAGCCTCGGAGCCGAGCCTCAGAGCCTTGGAGAGCCAAGCTGAGCCACGAAGAGCTGAGCTAGTCCCGAAAAAACACAACCAGAAAAAGGTTAGGAGGGAAAAACAAAGGGGTTTAACTGATTTGGGTTGGCATTTTTCTGATGACAAACATTCAAAGGACCCTTCTACAGAAACACCTTGTTTGTTGGTGTGCATTTGGGGGAGGAGGAAGTTCTTGAGGGACTTTTCATACCAGAAGGACTTTCGGCTTAAAGTTTTTCATCCCCGTGGGCCTCCAGTTTAGCCCCTTGGCCAGGCATAACCCATCATTCCCTGCATGGTCCTGCCCTGACCCGGGCTCCAGATGCTTCAGCAAATGGAAATGCGGATCATTTCTGTGGCTCTGTAAACACCCGGCTTACCCAGAAGCACATCCAGCCAGCCAGTCCCCCAAAGCCAAGCCAACTCTGGGCTCCGTACTTAATGTCCTTGTTCCTTGTCACCCCAAACAAGGTGGACTAAGTGGCCCAGCCAATCTGCTCTTTTCTACTTTTCTTTTCCTTGTTTTTTTATTCTCTGTTCTATAAAAGCTTCCTGCCTTCTGCCCCACATGGAGACTGTCCATGTCATGAAATGTTAATGTTTGTTTGTATCATCAAAATTGTCTTTTGTAATCATGGTGTAACATGTACTGGCATGAACTGAAGTTTCCTAAGACAGAGAGGGGGCATGTCACATGACTAAGGGGAGCAGGATATGCCATCCCCAAATATGCTGTTTGTCATTCGCCTGTTAATCTGTCTTTTATTGCAGGGGTCTCAACTAAGAATGCAGAAGAGAAGAGGGAAATTAGTTTTTCCTTCCTTACAATTTCCTACATTTATTTAATCAGACGTTTTCTCACCTCCTCCCCTTTTTCGGTTTGGGAAGCTTGCCAAGGGGTGCTTTGGGAAATGCTAACCTAGGGACATATATATTACTAAGTAAAATTTAAGCCCACTGCCGATGCCTATTCTGGCTCTTTGGCTCAGAGAAGATATGTTCTTGGCAATGCAACCTGGAAATCAGAATGCATTTTCCATAAAAACAATGCAGCTAGATGTAATTGAAATAGTACGATTAGAGCTATAATTTGGATGTATGTGGGCCAATTGAGCTTTTGTGGACTAGTCTGGAAATCAAACACCAGGGACAGAGACGTCACGAGGGGAGAATCCACGGGGGGTTGCAAGAAGATTAGAAACATACATGTGAACTTCGACATGCTTACTCGGGGAGCTGACTTTGAATTCTCAAAGCAAAGCTTTTTATTAAGCTTAAATTGTGCACCCACTTTTTGAATGACTGAACCTAACGCGAACTGTTCCTACTTGTTGCCAGCTCATTGCCTTAAAATTCTGAGTCGTTCTTTCATGTTAAATTTTTCTTAAGAATTACAAAAAAAATCTTGAGTAAATGTCTTACAATTATAATCAGCTTTACTTGTTGCTATGGAGTTTTGCTTGGTTATAAATTCTTCATCTACTGCTCCTATTTCAGAAAAAAACATTCAACTGACTAAGTTTTAAAGATCTGATTGGCTTCATTCAATAATTCATGAATTGGGCAGCATCCCATCTAGCCGTTAGAAAGGAGCTCCAAGGAGATGAACAAAATGAAACTGTTATGCTGAGGAGGGGGTGAGACGAAGAAGTTCTTCACAAAGAGGGATGATTTCAGACAAGGTCGCCTTCCTTTGGAGGATGTCAGAGTCCCTCACTAGGGCTGACCAGGTAATTGCAGACGGACTGGTTTGAGATTCCACTCCTGGGAGTGGCTGAAACAATAACCAAGTTCGGTATGAAGTCTAGCTTTGGTGACAGGGGCATGGCACAGGTAGCTCTCTTTGGGGCCTGTCTCTTTTTCATACTCCTCCTTCAGCTCAAGTTTCAACAGCTGAGCAAATATTCTGACTCTAATGACAGACAATACATACAATTTGTAATAGTTTTAGTCTTCACTGTAGCAATGCCTACCCAAGGAGTGCCAAGAAAAGAAAACAAAACTGGAAAGATATTTCATAGTAGCGCCAACACAGATCTTCAAGAAGAAAGATTTGGAACGTTTCCTTTTATTCAGGATGGAAATTTTGTCTAAACAGCTTGAGAACGAGAGAAGCCATTTGTCAAAAGACTCATTTTAAAACGTTTAAATCTCAAGCTGTTAGTTGGGCAGCAGGCTCCTCACCAGCAATTTTGTACTAACTTGTTTTTCTAGAAGAAAACATGTTTAATATTTGTCAAAATGATTTTGATGATCTTATTATTCTATGGTTGTCAGAGCAAAATAAAAATCAAGGCTATACCAGGCCAGATAAATGTAACATAATATTTTTTTTAAAAAAGAAGATATTATATTAAATAAGAGTAAAATCAAACTGCAACGGTATATCGGGCCTTGTTCTGAAGACTTAAGCTCGTACCACCCATGAGAGCTGAGCATTTGCCATTCTAAGTTGCTCAGATGTCTGAGCTCTTCTGCAGTGTAAGAGTGGAAACTTTAGATGAAAGCGGAAGTATTCAGAGGTGAAATGGCAAAATTTTTGAAGCTTAATTTGAAACGGTGGCTTTGTAATATGTCAACTTAGCCATGCTGAGCTATGCTTCCCAGAATTCCCTTTCCTGTATGTTTCTAGTCAGGGTGGGCCACAAAAGACATTCTTGGGAGGTTTTGAGGGCAGAAGAGATGCAGCTGCCATTCTGTGGGTCATGCACACCTCACTGCAGAGCAGCTGGCTCACCCCTCGCCTTGTTGGCGGGAGCAAGCAGCCGGGCCTGCCACCAGTCCACCTCCCCTGGGATCCCCTTCCCGCTTCTCTAGCTCCTGGGCCAGGTGTGTGTGTGGTGAGCTCTGCGAGGGAGGGCTCCAGCTCCTGCAGGACATCTGCTTCGTCAAAGTTGGTGGTGGCGAGAATGACATAAATCTACCAGTGGTAGATTCTGTTGCTTTCTGAAGATTAGCCATCTGCCTGCCCATCCTTGTGGGGTGCCAGTCTTGATCTCCTACATTTTATATCGATTTTCCCTTCTGACTGCTGCCTTGTGGATTTCAACCTCCAGCATCAGAAACAAAGATAACAGCCTTACAGATACATGGGAACAGATGTCGCTATGTAGCTATGTAGACATGGGGTGATGGATCTGCCTCTCTGAACTCTGGCACACACGACTACCTACATAAATAAATATATGTGTGATATTGAAAGAAAGAAATTCAATACAACAAACTGTTAGTATTCTTTAACCTAGAAAGCAGGTATATGAATTTTCATTTTACTATTCTTTCAGCTGTTTTGTATGTTTAAGCTTTTCCATACAGACGATTTGGGGAAAGAAAGAATTGATCTTAGTAATGAGTGAAGTTCACAGATTTTTTTTTACAGTGGCGTGTCCTAGCCTTTTTGTCTCTACCCGAATAAAACTTGCCTTTGCTCTTACTTGGAGTCTTACTCGATCTTGAATTCTTTCCCGTGTGGGTCAAGAGCCTGAAAGTCCCAGACCACACCGGGCAGGGGCAGGGCCAGGCCCGGGCACAGAACCGGTCCAGCGATACCACTACTAATGCAATCCTCTGAGGATTTTATCCCGTGTCCCAAGTGTCACCTGTGGAACAGAAGCTCCTCCCCACCCTATGTGAGCTCAGGGAATCCTTCCGCCAAATGCTTTCTGGTGAGTCTTTTCCTGAACTCAATTTCTTCTCAAATATTCATAGGCCAACACTCAGCCAAAGATTTGAAGGCTCTTTCTTCTCTGGCAGTCTCCAGAATTCTCATTCTGTTTTTGTAGCTCTTTCTTCTATATTTTACCCAGAACATTCTAGTCATGTTGGCCCTTCCAAAGTTCAATCTCTTCTTCCTCAACTCAGGGAGACCATTGGGCTCTGTATGGGACCCCCTTTCTGTTCTGCAGCCTGGAAACTGCTTCTAGTCCATAAACTGGGGCAACCTAAGGGCTTACTGCACTGATTTCCCTTCTCTCGGGGATCCTGCACTTTCAGTTATCCACGGCCTACAAAACACTATTCCATACAGTGTGACCATCCTCTTGTTGTTTAAGTCAAGAGGGTCTTTGTTAAGCCATCTTGGCCAGAAACATCCAGTTATTTATTATGGATCATATAGAATATTTTCATAAAATGATCTGTTAATTTTTAACATTTTACCTCATAGAAAGCAGGAAAGAGATGCAATGATAACCACAGGGGCCATCGCAGAGTTCTACCTGACATTTCTAACTTTAACTCACAGTAGCTGAAGTATAAAATTCTCATGGGGAAATTCAATTAATAAGCCGTCACCTGTGCCCAGTTTTAGCAGCCAAGTTCTGCACATCAACCGTGAGTCCTTCAGGCTCCATGAATTGGGTTATAATTTCTGCTCAGTAGGAATCTGTGTCAGGTCACTGAGCCTCTAGCCTCTGTTCCCCCTTGAGGTATGAGGATGTATTTTTATGCAACTTAGAGTTGAAAATGAACCCTCTGCTCTCACTGTAGTGATTGGCTCAACCCAAAATCTAATAGTGCTGACAACCCAGTAACTTTACTTTGGAGACCATGTAACAAACAGCCAAGATTATTATTTATTTACTTTTATTTTCTTAACCCTCACATGAGAATATGTTTTTATTGATATTTTTTTTAAGAGAGAGAGAGAGAAACATCAATGTGAGAAACATTGATGGGTTGCCTCTCATATGTGCCCCAACTGAGGATCAAACCTGTCACCTAGGTATGTGTCCTAACCAGGGATAGAACCACAAACCTTTATGGTGCATGGGATGATGCTCCAAACAACTGAACCACCCAAGCAGGACCAACCAAGATTAAGATGGACAACAACAGAGAAGTGATCTGAGAGTTCTAGCTACCGTATATTGAATTTTTGGGATTGGACTTTGCAGTGAATCTGTAAAATTCTCACACATTTAATTTTTTACACTTTATATAATTGCTTCTTTCATTTAAATTCAATTCTGAAAAGTTTTCCTTCTTCTGGAACAGTTACCTTAAAATTAAAATTTAATTTTATAGTATCCAAACATGGGTGATATATACTGATTTCATATTGTCCTCTCTTCATCTGCTAACCACATTACCACAATCATCATGCTTGCATACTCCCCTTGCCTCCCAAATATTTCATCCTTTCTCAGGGAAAGGCTTTTTTGACTTCAAAATCCTTCAGAAATTAATTTTGGCATAACTTCTTTACTCCTTCCAAGTTACTTTGAAACTTTTATCATTTCTCTCAAATCATAAATCATTGCCTTTTGAAAGGAAAAATTATCTCTTACTTCTCTTTGAAGTAAATATATTTTTTAAGGCTGTCACACTTAGACTTTGCTAAAGACGCCAGAATCTAAAGTTATTCCTGTGTTTACAAGTGACTTGACTCACGGGCCTCTTGTATCATTGAAGGATTGTTTAATAAACCATTCATCAACTGCTACGTTTACCCAGGAATTACTGTGTTCTGCTAATTCAGTGACACTGCTTCAGCGAGCTTTAGGCCCCTTCAATAATATCCATAACATACTCATGAGTTCCCCAGTAGAGGCCCACATTTCTACCTAATTTCTGAGTGATCTAGAACATGCTAAGTTGAACCAGGAGAGAGTCTGACCCCACCAGGCCAGTCACCCCTTTACCTCCCAGCATTTGATCCTAAGGCTTTGGCCAGAATCAAGCTAAGCAGGTGCTGCCAGATCACACAGTCCGGTGGAGAGATGAGCTTCCCCCTCCTCCTGTGCTTTAAAGAAGGGTACTCTGGCCGCAGTCGACTGGGATGTTATGGGTGATGCTGAGGTATCTGTAACTTCCTCCCTCTTCTCCTCCTCCCTGCATACCCCACCCATCCATAGATAATGGGGAGATGATTGTGTAAGAGACAGCCTGACCCGCACGCTATGTGTTTGGATAGAGCCACTGCAAATACTGACATGCGATGCTCCGTGTCCAGCCCATCGCCCTTCAGCGAAGGAGGAGCAGTGGCACATTCTGTTCCATTCTCACACTCACCCTTCTTCTGTGTTTATCCCAATGTTTGGCTGAAATCTAAAAGTGGAAAAGTGCCCAGGTTAAGCTTATTTTGAACATTAAAAATCTATAAATCACTTCCTGTCACATCAATATGAAAAGCTGAAGGCATAGGTACTCTGTAATGAATTGCGTAAACAATACACAGAGCCAATATAATGAAGTAAAAGCTACAGATATACATCCCCCTTAATTTATGCGAGTGAACACATATCCACAATTTACAGGTCATAAAGCAAAAAATCAGACTTCGCAGCTCTGATTGTCGACATTCCTCAGAGATCACTCCTTGTGATATTCCATAATTCGGATATTATAGATATTAGGGCATCATATAAAAGATTATGGAATCCCTGGAGAAAGAGAGATAAAAACCAGGCAGTTGAAAAATGGAAAAAAGAATGAGTCCAGCAGGAGAAACCTCATCTTGTGTAGCGACGGAATGCAGGCTGTGATGGATGTAGAAAATACGTTGTCCATCCTTCATCGCATGGAACCGCTCCGGTACCATTTAGTTTATGGCATCAGACTGCTAACAACAACAACAACATCAACAACAACAACAACAACAACATCAACAACAACAACAACAACACAGTAAGAGCCTGGGAAAAGCTTGAGCCAGAAACAAAGGAGAGACAGGAAACGTCTGAGCTGCCCCCTATGAGCCCCATTCCCATCTCACTCCTTTAGTTTGATATATGCAACTTTCTGTACCAAATCTGATTAATTCAAAGGCCGTGGAGAGATCATTTGAACTTAATGGATTATATGTTTTTATTTGCAAGCCTGGCCTTTTATTGAATAGCTAATTTCTCTATTCAGCAGATGTAAGCCAAGGACCCATACTCCTCCGGGTGAGGAATAGAAAGGAGTGCAGGTAGCCTTTTTGGATTCAGTTAGGAGGCGGGAGGAAACCTAATAATAACTTAAGAAAGACTTGAGATTGCCCTAACCGGTTTGGCTCAGTGGATAGAGCCTCAACCTGTGGACTGAAGGGTCCCAGGTTCGATTCCAGTCAAGGGCATGTACCTTGGTTGTGGGCACATCCCCAGTAGGGGATGTGCAGGAGGCAGCTGATCAATGTTTCTCATTGATGTTTCTAACTCTCTATCCCTCTCCCTTCCTCTCTGTAAAAAATCAATAAGATATATATTTTTTAAAAAGAAAAACTTTAGATAATAGTATGTAAGTTAGGTCATTATATAAAACATTGGTCTTAAGTATCAAAACCAACTTTTCCACACTGACAGGGTCATTTTTTAAAATAAGAGTAATTAGTAAGGGGGAGTTGGGCTGCAGTCATCAATGATTACAAAAGTATCATTTAAAAAGATATATGTTTTTATTGATTTCCAGAGAAAGGACAGGAGAGGGATAGAGAGATAGGAACATCAATGAGAGAGAGGAACATCATCAATTGGCTGACTCCTGCACGCCCCCCCCCACCCCACCCCCAGGAGGACTGAGCCACAACCCACCCATGTGCCCTGACCAGGAATTGAACCTGTGACCTCTTGGTTCTTGGGTCAACTCTCAACCGCCGAGCCACACCGGCAGTGCAAAAGTGCCATTTTATGGGAATATCATAACTATCTATGCTCTGAAGCCCTACCTGCTTGATTGACAGGCACAGCTGTCTCTTTGTGGTGTTTTCTGGCCCAATTACTCTTTCTTGGAGTCCAGCTGCTGTTCTTAGAGCCTTGTGTGGGTGTTCACCGCTTGCCACACCCTGTCCTGGGTTGGGGTCCCCCGCCCTCTAGATGGCTCTCCACGCTGCCAGTCACTTGCTGCTGCCTCGGACACTCTCCACCAGCCTCCACACCCGCTGCATGATCAGCTCGTCCAAGGGCTTCCCGATCATCTTGTCTATTTGTTTTGGTTGTAGAGTATACAAAGGCATCAAACATACTGACCTTGTATCTTTCTACTTGCATATTTTAAAGAAACATTATGTTAAAAGCAATGTAATTCAACTCTTTTAGAAGAGAATGTATTCGGGTAAAATTGAGAGACACGGTATTTTCTAAAACGTTGTGATATAGACTAGACAAGTGTCTTTACGGACAATGAAATGGTTCAGGGAGGGTGAGCCTTGTACCAAACAACTCAACCGGCTTCTGACTTGGTTACATCCCTTTTACCCTCCAGGCATCCCCTGGTCCTGTTCAGCAAGGCCCCAGATCTGGGATCCCAGGGCCTGAGTTACAGGGAGGCAGGTCATGAACCAGCAAAAGGAGAACTGTTCTAACACTAGAGCTATTTTCCAGGTTGCTCAGGAAGAGAGGGGCATGGTGGCCACAGGAACAAGGTCAAGGTTGCCTTGATGCCATAGGTGGCCGGGGCAGAAGAGTGTCACTGTACCAGAGGGTTTCCTGGCAACACATTCAGGCCCTTCCTGGG